GGAGGCGCTGCGCGGGCTGCGCGTCACGGTGCGCGGCGCGGCGGGCGCGGCGGGCGCGGCGGGCGCGGGGCCTGCTGGGGATCCCGCATCCCCGCGGGGCCCCATCCCCATGGATCCCCCATCCCCACGGGGCCCCATCCCCACGGGTCCTCCCTTCCCTATGGATCCCCCATCCCCATGGATCCCCCTTCACCACAGGTCCCCATCCCCATGGGTCCCTCATCCCCATGGGACCCCCCTTTCCCACGGGTCCCTGTTCCCACGGGTCCCCCAGCCCTGCGGGGCCCCCCTTCCCTATGGATCTCCCATCCCCATGGATCCCCCATCCCTATGGATCCCCCTTGACCACGGGCCCCCATCCCCATGGATCCCCCATCCCCACGGGGCCCCATCCCCACAGGTCCCCATTCCTACGGGGCCCCCCTTCCCTATGGATCCGCCATCCCCATGGATCTCCCTTCCCTATGGATCCCCCTCCACCACAGGTCCCCCTTCCTTGCGGGTCCCCCCTTCTCTGTGGATCCCCCATCCCCATGGATCCCCATCCCCATGGATTCCCCATCCCTATGGATCCCCCTCCACCACGGGTCACCCTCCTCAGCACAGGTCCCCCCTTCCGCGTGGGTGCCCCCTCCCCACAGCTCCCCCCTTCCCTATGGATCCCCCCTCCCAGTGGGTCCCTCCTCCACACAGGTCTCCTCTTCCATGGGTCCCCCATCCCCATGGATCCCCATTCCCTATGGATCCCCCTTCACCACAGCTCCTCCTTCCTTGCGGGTCCCCCCTTCTCTATGGATCCCCCCTCCACGCGGGTGCCCCTTCCTCAGGTCCCCCATCCCCATGGATCCCCCTTCCCTATGGATCCCCTCTCCCCGCGAATCCCCCTTCCCCGCAGATCCCCTTTCCCTGCCCCCCCATCCCGGTCCCGTGGGAGCCGCTGACCTCGCGCCCTCCTGACTCATGGAAAGATCCTCCCCCCGCTGCCGGCGCCGCTTCCCGGCAGCCGCGTCGCCGCGTCCCCGCGGCCGCGGTGCTCAGCGGCCGCCCCGCGCCGCGCAGCTCCAGTTCCCGCTCCAGGAGTTCATCCTGGCCATGGGCTTCTTCCTGGTGCTCGTCATGGAGCAGATCGTGCTGGCCTACCGGGAGCAGGCGGGCGCGCTGGAGGAGGAGACGCGGGCGCTGCTGGNCGGCTCCATCCAGGCGCCGCGCTGGCCCGACGGCCCCGGGCCGGCGCCGCCGGAGCGGCCCCACGTGCACGTGGACCTCAACGCGCACTCGCCCGTGCGCTCCCTGCTGCTCGTCTTCTCGCTCTCGCTGCACTCGGTGTTCGAGGGCCTGGCCGTGGGGCTGCAGGAGGCCGAGGCCAAGGTGCTGGAGATCTGCGTGGCGCTGCTGCTGCACAAGTGCGTGGTGGCCTTCAGCCTGGCGCTGCAGCTGCTGCAGGGCCGCCTGCGCCCGCGCGCCGTGGCCGCCTGCCTGCTGCTCTTCGCCCTCATGTCGCCGCTGGGCGTGGGGCTGGGCACGGCGCTGGCGGCGGGCGCCCTGCAGCGCCTCTGGCGCAGCGTCCTCGAGGGGCTGGCCGCCGGCTCCTTCGTCTACATCACCTTCCTGGAGATCCTGCCGCACGAGCTGGCCGGCGCCCGCCACCGCATCCTCAAGGTCATCCTGCTCATCGCCGGCTTCGCCCTCGTCACCGCCATCCTCTTCATCAAGATTTAACCCCCGCCCCGGCCCCGCACGCCGCGGGGTGAGGGGGTCGGGCCCCGTGCCCCCCGTTTGGGGGTGGAACTGGGGGGGAAATGTCCCCCTGTGCAAGTGCCAAAGTGCCGCCCCGGGGCGACGCCTCTCGTGTGCCTTGGTGTCCCCGTCGCCCGGGGATGGGTGCTGTTCCGGGGGGCAGCGGGGGGGCCCGCGCTGCCCCCCCTTCCTGCCCACAAGTGCCCTTAGTGCGGCGGGGGGGGCCCTGCTGCCCCCGCCGCTTCCCTCCCACCTCTCTCCTGTGCTTGCCCCCCCCGGGCACGGAGAGGATCTGGAGGGCAAAAAAGCAAAAAACAACCCCAAAAAGCCAATAAAGGACTGGAAGCGACGGCCGTGCCTGGCTGCCTGTTGGGGGCTGTCACCCCCATATTGACCCCCATGCTGTTCCCTCCCCCTTCCCCTCTGCAATCGGAAATACCGACGTATTCCTCCCCCCGCCCCCCCCGCGCCCGGGCTGGTGCTGCCCCCGCTGCCGCCCCCGCCCCGTCCGCCCCGTCGGGAGGCGGGTGCGGAGGAGGGGCCGCGTTGCACGCCGGGAGTTGTAGTTGCGGCCGCCCTTTGAGGCGGGGGCGGGGGAAGGCGCGGCGACTCCATTTCCCAGCGCCCCCT